ATATATATATATATATATATATATATATATATATATATATATATATATATATATATATATATATATATATATATATATATATATATATATATATATATATAAATATATAAATATATATATATATATATATTGATTTTAATATCAGAAATACGAAGACGAACGTACATATAGGGAAATAAATATGCAGCCAAAATAATCACCAGTGTGCATACCCAATAGATCTCCAATAGCCTTGCGCGTCTTGTTTCCCTCCCGTTGTTTGACAAACGCTTCTTCATCACGACAGAGTGATCTGCCCTGACGAACCTTAGCCGTTACATGCTGCAATACGACGCGTGAGAAAGTTAACGCGATATTCGATACTGCACAGAACATCATTCTCGCAATACAGTACAACACCTGAGGATGAACAAGGTGCTTGATGTAACACGTGAGCATATGCATGGCGATTGATTGAACACACGAATACGTACGCATGATTCGATAGTCCACATAAGGATGTGCATTTGTTGCGAAATAACAGATGCGCATGGTTCTGTAAATCAATATAGCACACGAGGATGTACTTGGGATAGTCGTGGTCACATGTCATGCTTCTATGGCCAACTATAGGCACGTAGCTGTCCTTTTGGCATGATACTGTTTATTTGGTTGCATGTAAAAGGTTAAGAGCGATATAGTATATACTCTGATCGCCCCATACATCGATTGAAAGCTCAGACATGTGCGCCACACGCACACCACACAATCCTCTGAACAGCACGCAAAGGCGTACATACAGTCTGTATGCGTGCTTAAGCATGTAGCATAAATGAACAGTACAACTTGTGAGGGGGAGAAGGGGGTGGGGGAGGAGAGATGAATAGCACACACTATGCATGTAGGCTACAGAGGTGATGGGTAGGGTATATAGGGTTTTAGGGTTTAGTAGGCATGTACTTACGTGCTAGGACAGTTGACGTGCAAGGATTGAATCTAATACGTGACCATGAGATTATGGCGGATAGGGATAGGGATGGTTCGCATGTATAGGGACGCTATGTGCGGACAGAAAAAAGCCCCATAACCGACACCAAGATGAGAGGAAGCAGAGACCTAGCATATACACAACGTATGCAGCGACGCATCAAAGGCTAGGACTAGGCTACACATATATCAGCATACAATGACATGTGGGCAGCAAGCACTTACGCAATACATGATGAGTCAGCAACAAGGTGTGAATAGGCGAGACTGGCTTGTTCACAGTGAATACTACTACAACATATGAGCAGGTGAAATATAATAAAGGAATATACCCCTGAACACAATTTACGATTTGTTGTGCCTCTACACATATCTCTACCCACTCACCTGTAATCAATGGATGCAATAGTATTTAAGGTTATATAAGTTATATGTAGTAATAAAATCAGTGCTCTATGTTATATAAGTTATACAAGCAATGGATATAACTAGTATGTAAGGTTATATAAGCTATATATAGTTACATAAGCAATATTATATAAGATATGTAACTTATATACGCAACAGATACAACAGCATATAAGGTTATATAAGATATAACAGTATAGAAGGTTATATAAACTATATATAGTTATATAAACAATGCTACATAAGTTATATAACTTATATCAGCAATGAATATAACAGCATATAAAGTTGTAAGGACACGGTCGGGCCGCAGGCCACGCCACCGCATTCTCAGCATACCCAACCATGACTGAAACACTCACATGAACGATGCAGAGAGATATAGAAAACCATAACATGATCACGAAAACAGAACAGTGCATGTACAATTTACGCAAATACCTACCCGGACTACTCGCATACGTGTACCTACATACACACAGTTGGCAAATACCTTGTATGGATTGTGTTCCTCGATAAGAGCCTGCTCAGCTAGAAATGGCTTCGTCAGTTGTGACTGGAAGACTTTCGCACCTGTCGAGACCGCCTGTGGAGAGTGGTAGGCATACACGGTGTCAACAAACGGATACAAATGAAAACGTATATGAAATACATTCAAATGACATGTGAATGTAAGCAAGTAGTCTTATGCACCCACAGAGAGCATAGGGATATAACTTTATACCCGTATACATCTACGAATATATATAAAGCAACAGACCAACAGGCAAACATACAAACACTAACATAT